GTCTATTTTGTACCTACCAGTTATGCTTCTTAATCCCTGTGCCTTTTTCCCCATTCTTCTCCTTCCCCCTCCCCACTGATAATCTCCTAAATGATCTCAATATCTATTAGTCCGTTCTTGTTCTAGTTGTTTGCTTAGTTTTTGTTTTTCTTTTTTAGATTCAGCTGCTGGTAGTTGTGAGTTTGTTGTCATTTTACTGTTCATGGTTTTGATTTTCTTTTTCTTAGATAAGTCCCTTTAACACTTCATATGATAAAGGCTTGGTGATGTTGAACTCCTTTAACTCTACCTTCCCTGGGAAGCACTTTATTTACCCTTCCATTGTAAGTGATAGCTTTGCTGGATAGAGCAGTCTTGGTTGTAGGTCCTTGTTTTCATCACTTTGAATACTTCTTGTCAGTCCCTTCTTACCTACAAAGTTTCTTTTGAGAAATTAGCTGACAGTCTTATGGGAACTCCTTTGTAGGTAACTCTCTGCTTTTCCTTGCTGCTTTTAAGATTCTCTCTTTAACCTTTAGCATTTTATTTTTTAATTTTTAAATATATTTTATTGATTATGCTATAACAGTTGACCCATTTTTTTCTCCCCTTTATTCTCCTCTGCTCTGTACTCCCCCTCCCACTGGCATTTTCCCACTTTAGTTCATGCCCAGGGATCGTACATATAAGTTCTTTGGCATCTCCATTTCCCATACTATTTTTAACCTCCCCATCTATTTTGTCCCTACCATTTATGCTGCTTATTCCCTGTACCTTCACCCCCCCTTTTCCTCCCTCTCCCACCCCACTGATAATCCTCCATGTGATCTCCATTTCTGTGATTCTGTTCCTGTTCTGGTTGTTTGCTTAGGTTTTTGTTTGTTCAATTGTTAATAGTAGTGAGTTTGTTACTGCTCATATTTTTGATCATCTTCTATTTCTTAGATAAGTCCCTTTAACATTTCATATAAGGGCTTGGTGATGATGAACTCCTTTAACTTTTAACCTTTGGCATTTTAATTATGTGTTTTGGTGTAGTCCTCTTTGAGTCCAACTTGTTTGGGACTTGCTGTGCTTTTAGCACTTGTATGTTTATTTCCTTCACCAAATTGGGGAAGTTTTATTATTTTTTCAAATAAGTTTTCAATTTCTTGCTCTTCTTGTCCTTCGGGCATCCCTGTGATTCAGATGTTGGCACTTTTGGAGATGTTCCAGAGTCTTCTTATTCTCTCCGCATTTTTTTTTTTGAATTCTTGTTTCTTCATTTTGTTCTGGTTGACTGTTTATTTCTTCCTTATGTTCCAATTAGTTGATTTGAACCCCAGCTTCCTTCCCTTCACTATTCTTTCCCTGTGGATTTTTCTTTATTTCACTTAGTGTAGCTTTTGTTTATTCCCTTATGCTTTTGCTGCACTCAATAAGTTTTCTGAGCATCCTTACCACCAGTGTTTTGACCTCTGCATCTGATAGGTTGGCTATCTTCATTTCCTTCAGTTTTTTCTCTGGGGTTTTGTTCTGTTCTTTTATTTGAGCCATATTTCTTTGTCTCCTCCATTTGACAGCCTCACTGTGTTTGTTTCTGTGTATCAGGTAGAGCTGCTTTGATTCCCTGTCTTGGTGCATTTGTTATGTGGTATGGTGTGGAGCCCTAAGTAATTACCAGGGTGCAGCAACCTGCTTCACATCTTTGTGGCTCTATATGTGGGGGAGGGGATAGTGCCACTACCTGGCACTAGCCCTGTTTTCAGTCACTTTACCCACTTCCCATGTGTGATTGGCACCCCTATAGCTGTTGCCCTGGTGATGGTTCCCAGGGTGGGCGGGTTTGCACGCATCCTAGGACCTTGAGGACTCTTTAAATGGACTCTCCTGGGAGATGGGCAGTTTCTTCTGCCATCCTGCTGGTTTTTGCAGCCGGAAGTTATGAGGCTTTATTTTCCCAGCACTGGAACCCTGGGCTGTGCAGTCTGGCCTGTGGTTGGGATCCCTCGCTCCCCAGGTGTCCTTCCTGATTTTTCTCTACTACACGTGAATGTGGGACCACCCATTTCACTGGCTGCTGCCACCTGCTGCCACCTCGCCACCGCCACCCCACATCTTCTTCTCCGCAGCTCCCCTTCTCTGCCCCCCATACCCACTTGGATGAATGTCTTCTTTAAGTCCTTGGTTGTTAGACTTCCATACAATTGGATTTTCTGGCAGTTCTGGGTGGTTTTTGTTGTGAGGTTAGTTGTGATCCTTATTAGGGTTGTGCAAGGGGGTGAAGCGTGTCTGCCTACGCCTCCATCTTGACTCGAAGTCTCACCCAATGTTACCATTTTATACATGATTAACCTTACAATCAATAGATCTGTATATAAAGCCTTTTAGGGTAGATTCCCTAATATGAAATTAATATTATGGAATCAAAGAAAATGAATTTGTCCTATTGTATTTTGATCATATTAATCTACACACCTCAAAAGATTACACACGTGATTTTACTTTAATTTCCTTCAAACACAAACAAATATGACAGAAAATCTTTCTGATCACTGCTCTTTCCCACTCCAGCCCTTACCCTCAGGCTTGCTTTCTACCCCTAGCGGCAGGCAGTCCCGAGTTTGGTACACAACCTTACAACCGTGTTTAGAAAGTCTCTCCTTCCCCTCTCTCTGTGTATGTATAAATACATACATCTTTAATGGTTTTTAATTACATGTTATTTGGAGGTTTATAAATCCAGTGTGATGCCTGCAATATAAATCCCTGTGTGCATTATTAAGCAGAACAAAAACTAATTATATCACTACTATCCTTTCCATCAATATTAATATCATATAAATAAACCATAGTGTAATGGGAGATCCGAATCCCAATAATTGACTGTAATAGCCACCCTAATCATTCATTCCATGCCCTCAAGATAATGCCGTATTGTATTTCAGGAGGCTATTTTAATTTCAAGGAAGGTAAACAGGATTAATTTCAGTTGGCTGTAGATTCAGTGTGGGGCCAAAGCACTCAGTTTGATTATGTATTTGATAATTAATTAACTCATTCTTAAACTCCAAAAGTGCCACCTAATTACTATATAATTGAAGTAGACAGTTGAATCAGCCATTTAAAATTGGAACTTGGTGAACTGACCCAAAGGGTACCCTGCTCATGTTTGGTTGAGTAGGAGAGGATATTTTGGACTACCCGTTTGGAAGAGGCCTCTGGTCATTGACAGTCAGGGTGACGATCAGGTTTAACAGGTTTCCTGGCTGCGGGGCACAACCTAGGTAGCCATGGTGTGTTACTCAAGTCTCTTCATTTTTTTCTAGAAAGAAGGTGTTTTTCCTAGTGCAGAATTCCTGGTGCTCCAGCACATCATTCACATTTTCATGCGGCTGAGTCGGAATTGCCTTGAGTTTGGGGGCCTTTTTAAACTCTGAGGATTAAAAAGTCATCTCAGGGCGGAGGCCATTTGGTTCTTGCCTGGGGACCTTCCTAACAGCTGAGCTGCACCTGTCCTAAACCAGCTCATGAAAAACCAGAGAAAGAATTGAATAATGAGACCCCTTACTAAATTTATTTGCAAAGTTTCAAAATTTTAATTCACTCTAAAAATGCTACACTGCCCTTTTAAATCACTCTACCACTGAATCACCTATGCTAAACTAATTATATCACCTTTTCCAGAGACAGCAGTGTTATCTTTTTTTCAAGTTTCTTTGAGTTAGAATTTCGTAGGAGTATCAGACAGATACTAGTTACAGCATTTACCTACATGTCAGCCTCTACCCCGTCAATCACCCAGTAAATGAAGTTCGGTATTTGCATAAAATAGCCAGCGAGGAGTGAGCAGAAGCACTGTGCTGGTGTAGTCCCCACGCCAAGTTTCCAGACAGATGTTCAGTAAGTGTAATTTAAGTGGGTTTAGTTTGGATGCTTAATGATGAGTATAAAATGACTGCCCGTTTTAGCTCATAATTAGCATCTACAACCCCCCTTTCACAGAGCTGTACCCTTAAAAAAAAACCCCACCAACTGTATGTCAAGTTCTGGATTTGATGTTTTGTATATCATCCTTTCAACTCTTTCTGGAGAGCAGTTATTAATATTATTCCCATTTTTTCAATAACTTTCGAAGGGGTCAGTAGGCTGACCCAAGACCAACGATCAGCAGTTGGCGCTTGGGGAGAGCCGTGGTGAATGAAATCTGGCAGGCCTGCCGCCTCGCTTCCAGTCCGGGTCTCACCCAGAGCCGGAGCCGGGTTTGAGCAGTGCAGGGGGCCGTGGAGTGGGACACGCGCGGGGCTCCACTCCGCCAGGCTGTGCTGCCGGGCAGCTGGGCGGCCTTGGACGTTCGAACTGCGACGGCAGCCTCACTGAAGAGAAGGTCCTCCCATCAGGACCCGGGTGACCCGCGAGGACACGTGCTGCCGGGCCCGCGTCCAGAACACCTCTCAACCCCAAGGGGAGGCTGGAGAAAGCCAGCCGTGGCCCTGGGAACGTTTAGCTACCACGCCTCCGTTGCTCACTGCGTGTTCACGGGCCGGCCTGTGTCAGTCCTTGTCTGCTCTTCAAGGTGCTAGACGTGCCCCGGTGAGCCGCCCGGCAGCACCTCGGTCTTCCCACGACGCCCCCAGAGCCCACTGTGTGAGAACCGGGAAGGAGCCCGTTGTGTCCCGCTCCATATGGGCGGCTCGCGGGGGCGGCTCGCGGGGACCGGCCCTTGGGCAGCGTTCGAAGTGGGGTTCCCACAGACACTGCCGATGCAAGGCCGGTTTGGTCCTGATCCACCTCTTGGGTTCTGGGGAGATCGGGGTTGGGGGGGGGCGCGGGGGGGCAGAGAAAGGTGCTCCAGAGCGAGCCGGGGCGACCGCGGACAGGTCCTCAGGTCGCACGCCCTCCGGCCAGCGCCACCTGCGGCGCGGGCCTCGGCGGAGCGAGCCGAGCCGCGGCGGCCACCGCGGGTCCCTCCCTCGCCCCACCTCCGGCCCTCGGGCGGCCGGTGCGTCCCCGCCCCCTCCGCCGCCCGGGCGCCTCCCGCAGGTGAAGCCAGTGCGGCCCCGGGGTAGGTGCGCGGGGTGAGCTCACTCCTGCGCTCCGCGCCAGGAGGAGGAGGAGGAGGAGGAGGAGGAGGAGGAGGAGAAGGAGGAGTGAATCCCACTTCCGGGTAGTGCCGCCGCACGCCACCGGCGTCTTGCTTTTCCTTCCTCCTCCCCCCGTCGCACCCCTCGCCTCTCCCTCCTTTCCTTTTATTCCCGACCCCACCTGCCGACATGAACAGCTCCGACGAGGAGAAGCAGCTGCAGCTCATCACCAGCCTAAAGGAGCAAGGTAGGCGGGCGCGCAGCCGCCAGGTGCGGGCGGCCGCGGCCCGTGGGCGGGGACGGCTCCCGGGCGCCGCGCTCGGGGCCGCGGGGAGCCGGGCTGCAGCTGTTGCGGCCGCGTGGCCACGCCGGCAGCTCCGTTACCCGCGGAGAAGCATCCTGCGCGCCCCGCGCGCACCGGAGAGCCCGGGGCCGAGGGTGACGGGCGGGTGCCGGGGAGTGTCGGCCCGGCGGTGCGGGAAATGGTACCCGCTGGTGGTTGCAGCTGGGGATCTGGAGTGTTGGGGGAAGGGACTAGGGTTCGGCGCTGACTTGGCCCCACGGCCTTACCTTCCAGGAGGGACTAGCGGGTGGGGCTGGATGACTTGGGAGGGGGTGGGGTGGGCGGCTCAGCGGGCCCTGCTCGCCCACTTGGCCCCACCCTTGCCCTTTCGCGCTGGGAGGCCTGCGGCGCTCCACTTCAGCCTTCCCAGCTTTTCATTTTGTCTGGTTTGCTCTAGTTCCTCTTTCTTTCCCCAGCTAGGGATTTTCAGGCCACCATGGGTCTTATCAACTTCTCATTTTTAGCAATTTTTTTAGTCATTGAGTCAAAACCCTGCCTTGGGTCAGGCTTCCTGAATTAGGACTTGGTTCTTTTCCACGGGAAAGCCAGGCCATGTAGGTGCACTTTTGCACTGCCTGGTCGCGCGAGGTTATCCCTCAGTAAAGAACTGTTTTAATTCAGCCTTTCCATCACTTAACCACACTTGTTAAACAAAGCCAAATGAACGTGAACCTAACACTTTTTAAATGTACGAGGATTATTACCCTGACCAAAGGGGGCCTGAAAATGTGGGTCGAGAAAGAGAGGAACCACACAAATTTAGGAAGTGAAAACATGTAGGAACAGTGCTTTTCTGACTCACGTGCTGCCAGAACCGCTATGCAGAGGGGGCACATGGGGCCCCTTCTCTCTGGCTGATCCTCGGAGTTTACCCCCAGCTCTTCCACTTCTCTTGCTCAACTCACCAACTCTGTGAGTTTGGAAGAGGCGGTATCCATCCTTCCAGGGTCTTGTGGATTAAGCCTGACCCACTAAAGGCAAAGGCTAGACCAGATCGTGTCATGAGGTTCTGCCCAGTACTATGAACCCTTGCCCTTTAGAGATGCAGGCGTACCATTTGCAAGGGAATGTGGGTCCCTCTGGAATGCACACTCCTGGAAAGACATCTGTTTACTGTTTACTGTGTGACCTTGGGGAATTCTGTAACCTCACTCAGATGGTCAGACACGTTCCTCTGTAGTATCTACCGTCCAGAAAGCACTGGATACACGTTCATGAGTTTGCCTTCCCAGTGCCCTCCACTCCCACTGTAATTAGCCCAAGGTCATTAAGTCACAAGCATCCGTGACTCTAGTGGGCACATAAAATGCCTTTATCTGGAATTTCCCAAGTGTTTTTGTGAAGGGCTGGATTCTATTAGTATTTTTTAAATTTCTTGTAATACCCCCGTAACATAAATCCTTTTTTACTCAAGCATAGTTGACAGATAACATTATATTGGTTTCAGGTGCACAGCATAGTGATTCGACATATATACACCTTATGATGTAATCACAACAATAAGTCTGGTAACTGTGTGTCATTCTACAAAGTTACTATTGACTCCATTTCCCTGTGCCATACATTATATTTCCATGACTTACTTATAACTGGAAGTTTGTACCTCTCGTTACCCTTAACCTCTTTCACCCATCCCTAAATACTCTTAATTCGTATTCTAGACTCTGGAGATTTCATTATTGGTAATATATGCCAGTGGATACTAGATCTTTTGATAGGTTATCAGTTTTCAAATAGTAATGATAACAAATTTCATTTCCTTTCACACTGTGTATAATTTCAAGGGTAGATTAACATTACAGATAATCCACACGGTTATATTTGCTTTTGGAATACATTTTCTGTCTCTGGTTTAAGAGTAGAGAAAAGGGGTTCTTAAGTTTCTGGTTCTTTCTTATATTACATCAGAAAACAAACAAGTCTATGTCATTGGTATTTTTAGAGGATATATTTTCTGAATTATGGACATATCAAGTACAATAGACCAGGTAGAGTTTGAAGTCGTGTTTCTTAAAAAGGTCATTTTTTTAAGGCTATTGAGTCTGGTTGCACAGGTGTTGAAATTTTTTTCAGTCCACAGTCTGGTTTTTATACATCTCAGAACTAGGGCATTTGTTTGCCGTTGGATCACAGAGTGTGTTAATACACTCAGGGGTACTGACTTGCTGTTTGGCCAATGGAACTAGCTGGTAAAATAGGGGTTTGAGGTGGAAAAACAGGCAACTAGGTATTTGGGCTCTTACCAATATTATGAGCAATTTGGTAAGATGATGGTGTGTATAATTTATTTTTGAAAATAGACAATTTCAAATTCTTTTTACTACCTGTTAATGACATTTTGAGTAACTCCACTACCCCTGTTTAATGTGAACAAGAACTAATAATTCATTTAATACTCTGTTTTCCTTTTTAACAGCAAGTAAACGTACTCGTTTATTCATTTAACCAGTGTTTACCAGGGGTCTCCTACCGTAGCATGGATAAGGCCCAGGTGCTAGGCACGGTCTGAGATGGTGAACCAGTCTTTGCTGTCATCGAGTTTCTCTTCTGGTAGGCAGTCATTCATGACATAATCATATGCATAAGCTTGTACAATTACAAATATTTTTCTAGGACAGAGTCTTAGCAATGGAATTGTTGGGTTAGAGGGCGTGTACACCCCCAGCTGTGCGAGACGCCGCCGAAGTGCCCCCCAAACAAAGTGCCCCCCAAACGGCCGAGCCAGCCCACATCCCCCAGCCTTGCCCGTGAAACCACACACCGGTCGACGCGGACCAGCAGCGGTCTTTATTAATTTTGGCAGCTTGGCAAGTTTCTTAATCTTGCCAATCGGATAAACAAAAACGATACCTTAAAGAATTGGTATTACCTGGTTATCAGCGAGGTTTGAAATCTTCCTACACATTCCCTGACGGTTGAAGTTTCGTCGTATTGTTCCTGCCTCAGTGAGTGTGCAGTCTGAAATTTGAACCCGTCCCCCTGGAGGGAGCTGGGGAGGAAGGTTCCTCTCTGCTCTGAATGGCAGGACGTGAAGCCTCCGTGGCGTGGCCCCTGAGGTTGCTTTTGACACGAGCTGTGAAATGTAATGACGGAGTCTGTCATAATATGAACAATCTCTAATTTATACTTACCATTCCCTAAGCTCGATGTCTTATAAATCACACCCACTTCTGAATTACTTCAAAACATTGTATGTTCCCTTCTGGTGAATGGTATAATTAGCTATATTATGTCTTTCTAGAAAGTTATATTATGTCCCTTTAAAAAAAATTAGCCAGTGTGCGATTGCTTATGTTCCAGCAGATGTTGAGGTAATGAGGTAATTCTCCTTTTGTCTTTTCGGGGGCTTTATTTTATTGGACTGATTGACATCTCTAATGCGCCGAGAAATGGCAACTTGGGATACTATTTCCAATGCATATTTCCTAGCGACTAAAGTGGACATTTCCCTGACAAAACATCATACAATTTGCTCCCCCTCCAGAATTCTGTTGGGAAATGATAGACTTAGCTTAGCATTTGTTGAAGGTACATGATTTTCATTGTAATTTATTCAGCCCCCATGCATTGAATATTCATAGCCAGGCACTGTGCTAGGCATCAGAGATACACAGACGAAGAAAACCTTGTCCCTGCTGGTGAGGAGTTCCTCCTCTAGAGATGGGGCTAGGCGTGTACATCCCAGGAAGCGAGTTCATTGACCTAGATGGGGGTCACATGTGTAAATCCTTTGGCCAGGGCGGGGCGGGGCACCTTGATTGGCCGCCCCCACAAAGACCGATGGGTTGGAGCAGTTGTCCGAAAGAGAATGCTATGCTCTTTCTGGTTGAGTGCCACTACCAGAAGTGGGATGCAGGCCACGCAGACACAGAGACTGTGTTCGCTGAGCTGGTCACCACAATAGTTTCCTGTCATTTGGAAATCGTGGAGGAAGTGTTGAAGAGAGTGATTGTCATTTAACCATAAGGCTGTTCTAACCAAAACAACCACAAGCAACCCAGAAGTTACAGCTGTTCTTGAGCTAACACTATTTCCAATGGATTTCCTATGGTGAGATAATTGGTTTTAAATAGAGGCAACCTCCTTTTTGCCTTTAATTACTAGCCTTTTCCTTAAGATCACTGAGATAGTGCTTGAGGTTCAGATGGAAATTTAGTCAAGCTCCTTCTCAGAGCGGAGTCAGTCATTAGAGGTGTCCAGTGCTCCCGTGGCTTCTAGGTTAGGAAGTGGCTGGGGCGTTATTTTGACAACAGGGACTGCAGCTGTTGCCTGCCGCCCGACCGTTTCCGTCCGGACAGGCGGAGGCACTGTCAGCGTCAGCCCCGTGCAGAGTCAGTCAGCAGTCATTTTCTGTAAGTGACTAGGCAAGGATTTTAGGCCTTGTGGGTTGTATGGTTTTTGTCGCAAACCAGCGTACTTGTTAAAAATGCAATTTCCTCCTAAAGTTGGTTAGCCGCTGCCCAAGAGACATCAGCTGGGCAGCGCAGCTTCCTCTGTCATTCTCCAGCGAAAGGAACAGGCCCCTGGGGAGAAACGGCTGATTCTAGGGCTGGGGTGACTGGGGCAGGAAACACACAAGACGAGCCCGGCGCATCCTGTACCAGCAACGAGGAGGTGCTGCAAGGAAGAAGCCCACGGCCACGGGAATGTATCAAAGAGATTCAGGAACCAGTGGAACTCGCAGCGGCCAACAGTGGATGGAACAGCTTGAACAACGAAATGTTAGCCTATAACCCAAAGTACGAAACAGATATTCATGCGTCCATACTGACAAAAACAAATGGTTGAATCAACAGGGAGAAGAGACAAATCTTCTGGACAAGCAATTCCAAACAGTGTATATAGATGCTCCTGGTCAAAGCGGCGGAACACGTGCCCTGTCCCTTCAGGGTGGGCTGCGCACA